CGCTGTCTCCTCTGTGCCCAGACAGGTTCCTCCCTCCCAAGAGCCAGCTGCAGCTGTTGGAGACCTATTCCTGGGATCATTTGGGGTGGAGGAGCATCCTGAGTTCACACACATTTCTCCTCCAGGCCTCCCTACACCAGCACGTGTCTGCCAAGATGCCTTCTCCATCTGAGACCCGCTTCTTACTCTTTTCCTCCCTGACCACAGGCTCAGTCTCCAGCTCTTTCCTTTGCCTTAACATCTATTTTTCTACCTCTAGAATTCTGAATAAGAGAATTTGTTTTTTGAAATAGTTGCTATTCTTTGAAGTATTTTATAGTATTTTCTCTAATGTACTTAAAGGATTCCTATGCCTCTGGAGATGAAACTTCTAAGTTTCAGCTTTTTATTAAGATGCACCAAATTACCCACAAGTCTTACTATTTTTATTGGTAAATATGACAGTAAAATAGCCTGGAAATGGTTTACAAGCTGCTATGTATTAATGAAAAATGGAGAAAACAGTCGTTTAGTATATGTATATAACACTTACTGTTTTCATCCTTAATAATCGTAAAAATGTGGCAGAATTAGTATTATTTACCAGATTATATTAGCAAATTAAAAACAAAGGTTAATTGAATGTTGGCTCAATTTGCACAGTAGTGAAAACCTGTAGGTCTTTTAACTTTCTGCTCCACGTTCTCTTCGTTTTGCTAAATTGCCTCTTTGAATATTATAATTAGGAAGTAATATTAATCTCTCACAATCTCATTCACATACATATTGTTTTTCTTACCAAATATGTTATAATCATTATTGACTAAAAAGAGAATATAAATAAAGCAAAAGTGTCTTTGCATACATTCATTACCTCTTGCATAAAAATTCAGTCAGGAATTAATTCTCTAAAGACCCATGTCATTAGTGACCATTAAGCCATTTTTGTGATAACATGGCTACATTTCTTCCTCTTGTCAGGTCTGTATAACAACACACCTAAGCACAGTCACACGGGGCACCAGCTTTCCCTTTGCCTTCTATCTACAAAATACCAGCTCTCCAAAAAAGCAGACATAGCCAGAAACGTGTGTTGAAATAGAAATCAAGAGGACAGAATTCAAGACAAAAAAATCCCCAGCCAATTATGAATCCTGAAACTTTTTCCCTAATGCTTCCTATGTGTTTAATTGCAAATGTTTATAAGAGGTTAAAAATGTCTTAAAATATGAGAAAAATCCCTGTGAAATATCTCTTTTCATAGTGCTCAGAAAGGTTTAAGCTCAAGCTTGAAATACTAATAGAGGTGGAGGAGTGAACAAATTCAAATAATAGGGGTAGAATTGACAGGTTTTGGTAATTCACCTGATAAACCAGATAGGGATATTCCAGCTACCTCCAATCACTATTCACTCTCAAGACCATGTGAGACCCATAGAAAGGCATATATTTACTTCTAGGCACATATCCAACCCTAAAGAGCCTTATCAGGTGGGTACATATCCAGTGAGGAGTACAGTGTTCAAACAATATTAGTTGTGGGTCAAAAGAACTGGATCAATTTAATAGGAGTTGCTGTGATGTTATTTGGTGAACTGGGTCTGTCTGCAGTTGGGTTTATACTCACAGGTCTCTAAATCATTACAATTGCAGCTAATTTTTACCAATTTCTATCTCAGGCTGACAGTTTCTATCATCTTTTTTGCAAAGTTAGCAAGAACTCTTTCCGAAGCATGAGCAGTACCAATTGTTATGAATTTTCTAATCACGAAGAGCAATCTGGTTTTGCGGTCTCCCTCTGTTTTCTGTAATTTATCCTTCATTGCAGGAATTCTCTGCTTGTATGTTTTCACTTCCTCAGTCGCTGATAGCTTCTGCTTTCCCTCTGCATTCATATTCTTGAACTAGTTTCCTTTGCAGAGTCATGTCTTTCTGCTGATAAAATTCATTGGAAATTTCTGTTGCAAGGAACTTGCCAAATTCAGTGAATAAGCCGTGTTCCAACTTCTGTATTTGTTTTTACAGCTCATGCCTGGCTGACCTATCACTCAGTTTGGAATGGAAATGGTCACTCTCTTTTTCAACTATTGTTCATGTCGGCTTTGTCTGGGAAACAGCTATCATTTGTCTTTTCTAATTTTTCATCTTCTCACTCTGGTGATCTGCTAGCTGTCTACTGTCAAATTCATCCCATCTATTTCATTTATTATTATTATTATTGCCCTTAAATTCAGAAGCCAGATCAAAATGACAATTTTATCTGCAGACTAGACTTCTTCAAACTTCAATATATTCTCTTTGTAAGCAAGATCTTTATCTAGGTGTTTTTGAGAGTTTTGTATAATTTATTAGTTCACTGAACTCAGTATAATGCTCACTGCTGTCTTCTGTTTCCTGTAGTAATTATAACATGCTCTACTAAAATCCAGTATTTTCTTTGTAAATCCAATAGATTTCCAATGTAGATTCCTGTTTTCTCATAACTTAAGTTTAGCTCCGTTCTCTCTCTCAAATATTATGACTTTCTTTGTAATACCCTGTCATATTCATTTGGTGTCTATCTTGCCAAATGTCTTTTCAGTTTCTTTATATTCTGTTTTTCTTCAATTCTCAATATAACAGCAGATTTTCCATAGTATTTAATTCATTTCTTTAAGCCTTCTGATTGAATATTTAAGGCAAACGTGTTCAGAAATATTCTTTGTTGTTTGATTTTTTCAAAAGATACTATTGTTTCCCTGATTATTTTGTCATAATTGATATCTTAAAAAGTTTTTAAAGTTTATTTCAAGTTCTTATTTAAACATTTGTACAATCTATTGTTTTCATTCATTAAACTCTACTACTTAAAAGGAGCATTCTTTAGGGGGAAAATGACACATAAACTAATTGCCAATAAATACATAACAATTATAGGCTTCTAAGACATGTCATAAAAATCAGGACTGGGACCTTCTGGCACCTTTTTCATGAGTGAGACAGCTGTCAAAGCACCTTCCATTGTAATTTTTCCTCTGGTAGTTTCTAACATCTTCTCTTTTTTTTTTTTTTTTTTTTTTCCTTTTTTTTCTTTTTTCGTGTCCGGCAACGGATCGCAACCCTCAGTGTCGCGCCCGTACCGGGACCGGCAACTGGATCGCAACCCTCGGTGCTGCACCCGCACCTCGCTCAGCCAGTGAGCAGGAACCGGTCTGTATGTGGGATTCGAACCCTCAGCGGGAGCGCCGCCACACTCCCAAGCGGCGCACTGTAGCAGTGCGCCACCGGGCCAGCCCTCTAACATCTTCTCTTTATCTTTGAATATTCCTAAGTTTCTTTCTCCATGTGTTTAAGTGTGCATGATTTTTACTTGCCACTTGAAATATGTTTAATCATAGGACTCCTATATTCAATTCTGAAAAATTCTCATCTGTTAACATCTTTTCAACAATGGCTTCTACTAATGGTCCACAGATATAAGTATATAGTAGTTGCTAATTAGTTCTTAATTTGAGTAATTTTGTAATAGAAAAAAATCTTGACTCCTAATCTTAAGGAAGTTGTGTATATCAGAATATGCCAACATATATGCCTATGCACGTGTTTGACCAAGTGAGTTTAAATGTATATTTTTCATACCTATTAGAGTCTCACTGGGTTTATTTACCTATTTATATGATTCTCCTCCTGCTCTCAGTCTGGCCAAGGATACCTTGAATATGATGAATACAGAAAGGACAGAATACAGAATAGGACAGCTTTTATTCCAGAAATACAGAAAGGACAGCCTTGAACTTTGCTTGCAAAGCTGCTTCTCCTGATATTTTCAGTTGATTTTATTGCTTAATTGTTTTTTAACCTCCTACAAAACACAGACGGCCAGACATTCTGTGTAAGGGTTTAGAGGAAACTAACTGGCCCACTGATGTTTTTATTTCTCATGATAGTTTTCCATGCAGAATCTGGTAGCTCAGGATCACATTGAGAGTTGGCTGGATGCTACGGCCTGTCCTGCTTGTATCTTCAACTTTCTAGAGTTTGGAAGTCATCAGTCCTACTTAGCAGCTCATTCTTTAAAACCAGGCTTTTCTCTTTTTTCCATGTCCTTTTTCTCCCAGAAAATATTATAAGACCTCAATTCTCATTATGGGCTAATTATTCTGTTCTATTTGCCTGAACCATAATTCAGTGGAAGCTTTTCCAACCCCAGGAAATCAGGAGAGAAATTATATAATTGAGAATAATAGCCTGAAAGCCGTGAATGTTTAGGATCTTGTGCTGAGTCTGATACATACAAGCTTGATGGTCTTTACAAGCAACTCACTGAAAAAAATGTTTTTTCTTTACATTTAAAATGGGATAATCATAAAGGCTACATATTGAATGGCAGTAATAAACCATCCCCTGTAGAAAAATAGGACCTATAGTTACTATCTAAACACTGTCCAATTAAGAGGGTTGTGATTTTATTCAGGTGGTTCTCAATTAGAGAATTCTAGTATATTCACATTTAGTAAAATAGAAATATATTTATAAGGATTATTTCCATTACTAATATATACATTTAACTAACTGCTGACTAAATATTTTCAGAAGAATTGTGATGGACCTGACTGAAGAGAAACTATAGTCATTTGGACTTAAGTACTTTTAATTATAAGTATACTGAAACTTTCAGGAAAAAAATTCCAAAAACAAGAAAATATTCCTGTGAAACATACAGTCTCAACACCACCAATCTGCTTAGCAAAACCTTTCTTTATCGATGATATCCAAGCAGGATAAACAAAAATTCTGAAACTTTAGTGTTCTTAAGTAACAATAGATAATTAGATATCTAGAGCAGCTTTTATAATTAAATGAAGCTTAAGAGTTTTGCTGTAACACTGAAGGCAATATTGACCTTTACAAATATCTAGTCCCTTTCTTGAAGTTGGCAGTTTAAAACAGTGAGAAAATATATAGAAATTGTTTACTAGCCATTTTGGAATCAGAAAAAATAAACACTCAAAAAATTATTCTTTGTATTTCAGGCCCTCCGGGGAAACGAGGTAAGAGGGGCCGAAGAGGAGAATCTGGTAAGTCTCTCTCTCAGCTGCTCCGTGTCAGTCATGTTCTGGTTAGGTTCCTGTATCTGTCCTTCCTAATAAATGATAATATTGTCTTGTTGGAGGTTGTGTATGTGTTTAGATCTTCTCTGCTAGACCTATATTGTTTTTTATCTTCTATTTCCATCAAACCGTAAGAAGGAGAAGTTTGCAAAATATCATTAATTGGTTTGGTAACATTGGCATCCAATTTGGGCTTATTTACTGTGTCAAATTAAGTCCGTCCTTTCTGTGTACGGCAGAGGGTTTCTTAGCTGCACACAGTATGGCGACATCACTGATGTTTACATCACTGTAGGTGGTCAGTAAATGTAGGTTTCTGTGAAAACATCTGCCTTGGGACACTGGGGCACAAGTCTTGGAAAGCTTTATTATTGTTTTGTCCAACTGGCACAATTTTGTCATGCTTTTACTCTCATTCTTTTCAAAATTTGGGAATTTTTATCCTACTGGTATAACCATAGAATTTTAGTGATGACAGGAGCTAAGTAATCAATCCAGCATTTTCATTTTGTAGTTGAGGAAATGAAGGCCCAGAGCAGTCAGGTGATTTGGCCAAGGCCATGCAATTTTTTATGAGCAGAACTTGAGACAGAACCAGTTATCCTCACTCCCACTGCAGTAAATTTTTGCTTTTAGGCCAAGTCCCTATATGCAAAATAAAACAGAAAAGTCAAATAAAAATTTTTTTAAACCAAGATAATTTGAATAAGTGAGTTCACTTGACTGTTTTACCTCCTTTGTAAAGTCTGATTCCAAAAATGTTAATGACCACATTGATTCTTCCTTGCAAGATAAGATAATCTAAGATTTGACTCTAGTGTGCTCTAAAATTTTTTTTTCCGGTATTTTCTATAAATATTTATCAATATTAAAAACAATCAATTGTTTTGTTTTGTTTGTAAACAATCTAAGTGTTGAAATGGTAGAAACACTATCAAGAAGAGCAGACAGCAGGTTAATGATATTTTTGGTTTCATTTCCTCTTCCATTTTGAAAAAGATGTCAAAGTAAAAAGGTTTTATGAAAATTCATTAATTTGGACAGTGTAGCTACTTAATTCCTTTAAGAGTATTCTCAGAAGCTATCTTTAAGCCTTACTGAATCTAAATAATTGGAAACTTGCTTAGGTTTCCCTTCACAAAGTGCAAAGACTTATAATAAAGGATGCTTTATAAATGTGTTTTGAGGAAAAGAAAGGATAAAACACTAGCAAAGTCAGATAATCACTGAAATAATCCTTGTGCCAAAAGAAAGATGATTAAGAGGAAAAAGTGAAAATTTCACACTTACGCAAAGTTTTATAGAAAATATAAAAGTCAATTCCCAACTTCCTAGTAACTTAGAACTGGTGTTTTAATTGAGCATATGGTGTGTGAAATATTGAAATTTTCTTAGACTTTGTCTGTCTTTTAATGAGAACACATGGTTTTAAAGAAACCTGTATAAATATTAAGACTTAGTCTTCTATGTATTGATAGTACTGTGGAATGAAAAACATCCTTAGAGCAAATAATAGGTACATTTCTGGTTTGGCTATTTTACCAAACTCAGGAAGTTATATATCAATTCTCTATAACTGGTCTATCATAAATAAGCAAATATCCTCCAGATTCATATTTTAAACTTTTATAAATTAGATAGCCTTTACTTAAAATATGTGGACCTCTCAGTAATCCATGGACAGGCTTCAGGGATTTTGAAAACTCCTCAAAATTTTATGTAAAATTTTGTGTGCAGGTGTAAATGCATTTTTCTGAGATGGTCTCGCGGGGTCCATGACCTAAAAAAAGGTTAAGAATACTGAATTCTAAATAACTTCCATGTCCCTTGTATTGTGCTGATAATTATGATGATGCTTTAATATTTTATTTAATCTAAATATTTTGCATATTTACTAATTCAAATCTCCCTTTTTCTTATCTCTCCACTTCTGCACCCCCCTTGTAGGTCCTCCTGTAAGTATATTCACTGCATTTTGGCTCTTCTGCATTAATCAAGATCACGTATGTTAAAACTCTGAAACATCAAAATATAGTCTATACGTCAATTAGAAAAATGTTACTGGCCTTTTAAGAGCACTTAAGTTTGGAAAATTATTTCTTAAGACATACTTTTGTGATCATGTGCTATTAAATTTTATTTTTGATACAATCACATCAATTACTCTCTTGAGACTTTAAAAATAATTTATGAAGCTCCTGATTTTAAATGCTTTTCCTGGAATTCTGAGGTTTCTTTTGCAAGCAAATCTCCGTGCTATTTCACACTTCTTTTTTCATCTGTTTAAACCTGTATCTGAAATATTTGCATTTGCCAGTCCACCAAATGTAGATGGCAACATGATCATGGAAATAATACCCCCTGTGGGCTTGGTCCAGCACTCCCTTCTTAGACAACACTCCCTTTGAAATCTGTTGGAGTTCTGCCTGCATAAAGAGTATGAGATGGAGCCCATGGAGAATTTCACTTTCTTTTTTCTTTCCTTGAGTAGGTCATAGCTGCAGCATTCCAGTCTGCTTTGCACTCACAGGAACAGATTATCTTGTCAGCTTTGAGCTAGATGTGTTTTTGAGTAATATCCTAGATATCTGTTGTCTGACCCTAGTGTTTATACTATGCACTGTGCATTTACGGTAGCAGTGATCATTGGCCTTGAGATATTTTCTCATCCCAGATAGCCAGTTTGCTCCAGGGTTCACAGACTCCACATTGGCCACTTATCTAACAAGCAGCATGATCTGGGGAGAGGGGCTTAGCATATACTCGTTTACTTTATTCAGAGGAAGCATTGACTTTCAAATATCTTTTGCAGTCTTCCTGCCACGTTCAAGGATGGAACATAAATCATATTAGAAATGACTTTGCTTCTGTAACTGACTTTCAGCTCTTGCTTAATGCTAGGCAGATGGCATGCCCCAGGTCTAAGAGCCTTTACTCTTTGGCTTCATATTTAAGCCTCTGTCTTTAAAACTAGAAACAAACCACTACTACGCAGAGGAAACTCCAGAGGTTACAGCCAGAGTAGTGTTCAAGGCATCTTCATGTGGAATATGTATTACCCATGCCAAGAGGTAGTTAAATCCCATTTCTGCCTTATGGTGACACTCAGGATTCTAGTATTTCCTCTCTGGTTTCTTGAAAATTCAAGCAGCCTTGCTTTCTTGGGGACATCTATTAGTCCAAATTCTCTACTTAAAATATATCAACAGTTCTTTCTTATTCTAAATAAAGAAATAGAGAACTAGTATCATTAACCCCCTAGTGCGATGGTACTTAGAAGAGTTCATGGAAAAAACAGAATTAAAAGATAATATGAATCTTTCCATGAACCTTTTTTCAACTTTTTATTTTTAAAATTTATTTATTAATTTTTTTTTTTACATTCTAAGATGTTGTGGAGGGGAAGGGACGAGGAGGGTGGGGACACATAGGTAGGGGTGGGGGGGATGGGGCTGGTCCGTGATTGTCCCTTTGCTAGCCTGATTGAGGAGTGCTGGGGAGCATGGCTGAGGCCTGTGGGGTGTGCACTCCAGCTATGGAGCCCAGAGCGTTTCTGGTAGCGGGATGGTCATCGCCAGGCTGGATGCAGCCACTGGGCGGGCTTCCAGCGGTGGGTCGGTTGTCGCTGATCTGGATGCAGACATCAAAGGGGCATGGATGAGGCCCTCAGCACCCCTCACCCCACTGTAGGAGCCCGGGGACCTTCTGCAGAGGCTCGTTTGTTGATGGGCAGGATGTGGATGTCAGGGGTGTGTGGTTGAGGCCCTTGGACCACCCCCATCCCAGCTCAGGAGCCTAGGGGCTTCCACCAGTGGCTCAATTGTTGCTGGGTTAGATGCGGACATTGGGGGTGTGTGGCTGAGGCCCTTGGGCCCCCCTAAACCTGGCTTATGATGCTGGGGGGGCCTCTGGCTCTTCTAGGTTTTATAGGGGTTCTTTGGGTGGTGTTAGACCTTTACTGGTTAATATCAAAACTTTAGTCTGTGGTTTTTTTGTGTTTTCTTTCAATTCTGTGTTAGATTATTAGCTACCCCTACCACTTAAACTCTGCACTGGAAGTAATTTGTTGTCCTTTGCTTATTTCTAAAATGGGGGGAGTTTCCTGTGGGAACCAGCACTTGAGCCCTGTAGTTGAGCTAAATGGCTGCTTTGCTGCTGATTCTCTGGGGAAGGCTTTTTTGTATAGCTCAGGTTTTAATTGTTGACCTGGTAAGCTCTTTCAGGTCTTATGAGGTCTGATACACCTGGGTTGTGTGGAAATTCTGGTCTGGGCCTGAGTCTTTTCAGCAAACTGCACCCTCTGAACTTCTATATTCCTGACCAGTCTCCGTTGAGTGGTCCTGTGCTGATTGGAGGGCTGATCAGCTGTCCATGCTGTGCCCCAGTGTTCCCCTGGTGGCCCATCTCCCCCACTACCCACACTTCAAACACTTCCCATGGGGTGGGCCATGCTGGTCCTTTGCAATGACTCACCAGCCTCTGAGTGGCTCATTTTTTCAGTTGTCTGTTGCCATTCGCTCCTATGTGGGTCTATAGGAACCCTGTCAGTGGTCTCACTAGCCTGGGGACCACCAAGGCCCTACTCTCCCTGCAGTCTCCAAGCAACTTCAAACAAAGGGCACAGCAGTGGCTTTTGCCAGCTCTTGCTCTGTGTGCTCACCAGGGCCAGCCTCAAAGTGGTTGGGGTTCAAAATGGTTGGAGCAGTCCTTTTCTTCTCTCATCGTGGCTTCTCCTACCTTCATGAACTCCGTAGGTCTCTCCTCCTCATCTCCTAATTTCTAGCAGCCCCAGCTTGGCTGTTGTTGCTTTTTAATAGTTGTGAATTGGTTGATTTGTGGGAGAGAGTGATGCTGGGGACCCTCTATTCCACCATCTTGATTCTCCGCCTGTAGGTTCCCCATGAACTTCTTGAAGTATCCTCATATATGGCAGACAATATTCTAAGCACTTTGCACATATAATTTCATTTTGTGCTCACAATAACCCTCTGATGTCACCATTCCCATTGTTCAGTGAGGAAATTGAGGCTCACAGAGGTTGATTACCAAAGGTTGCACAGCTACAGTGTTTGCAAAGTTGAAATTCAATTAGACATGTCTGATTTTAAACTCTTTCAGCTTACCACTTCATTCCTATCCCTTATGAATTATAGGTGTGTTATAACATGGATCATTGTTACACAGGTTTGGCAGGCCAGGGGTCAAATCATATTCCTTGATATAAATAATTACATGTAATTATTTACATGAACAAAAAATGTAAAATGGCTAATCTATAAAACAAACACTTATGCTATCCCACCTTGACCACATTTCTAAAAGTTTAAAGTAAAAGTTTAATGCATTTAGCAAACTGCATTAAATCCAAAAAATAAGGCGTAATCATGAGGTTTTATGCTGGTTATTTTAGTCTGTTTTGTGTTGCTATAACAGAAATACCTGAGACTGGGTAATTTATAAAGAACAGAAGTTTATTTGGCTTATGATTTGGGACAGCTGCATCTGGCACAGGCCTCAGGCTGCTTCTACTCACTGTGGAAAGCAGCAGGCAGCCGGTGGGTACAAGCAGATCACATGGTGAGAGGAAGCAAGAGAGCCAGAGAGTGTGGAGGTGCCAGGGTCTTTTAAACAACCAGCTCTCTCGGGAACTAATAGAGTGAGATCTCACTCATTAATCCCACCACCTAGGGAGACCATTAATCTATTCATGTGGGATCTGCCCCCATGACTCAGTTTCCAACACTGCCACATTGGGAATCAGATTTCCACATGAGTTCTGGGAGGACAATACATCCAAACTCCATCACTGGCTAAAAGATTAAGTTTAAATTGCTCAGCACATTTGATAAGATGAAAAACCACTGATTGTGAAAAAGAGAAAAAAATATTGATTATGCTATCTTCACTAGCATGGAGTCTTACTGTAGTACTTATGACCCAATATCATGGGAGCTCTTATGGGTAAAATACCCTACAATGAAATCCTCTTGAGCCTCTCATTTCTAAACTTCCAAATGTGGCATCTAAGAAAAATCTGCCTTCCATCAAATTTCACATTTAAGTAGGTGGCCTTATAAAACATCTCCATTATATTTCTTGCATCTGAATAAATATTAATAAACAGTGGCATTATTATGATTAGATAGATTTATCAGCAATGTATTTATTTAGAGGCAATATCCAATTATTGACAATTTTTATATCAAGTGATCGTACTCTTCCTATTTTTAGCTTCATTTTAATTTTATGTGTGGTTTTTTCCTTTCACTTTTCTGTGAATTGAAATCTGACAGTATTTGTAATTTTGTTTTTAGAGAAATTTTACTTTTCTAATATTGTGTCTTTTAAAAAGATTATTTAACTATCTCCACAAATAAAAAATTGGATAAAGTATCAAGGTATATGTTGACATTTGAATTGCAATTGCCCTTGCCTACATCCTGTACTTTAAATGTAAAGCACAAAGGTAGTCTGAGAAATTAGTCTTGCTTCTGATGAGCAATCCTTGGCACAGAACCTATGTCAAGTAAATCCCTTGAATTTCCTCTGGCCTTGAGAGTCTGTGGTGTTGTGGCTTGATGTGTACAGAAAGATTACGAAGCATGAACTGGTATCTATTTTCTTGCCATTCACTTTCATTTAGTTGTGAAATGTGCCCCAATAGTACAAAAGACAGCATTAGAATGCTCATGGAAACAAACAAATAAAAAATTAATTGGCCCTGGGGGGGATAATAGCAGTCTCTCATTGTCACTGAGGGTCACCTTTTTTTCATTGCCATCCTGAAGTAATACTCTCAAGCAAAATTTTTCTAAAAAAAAGAAATACCAAAAAGAGAATCATACTTAATAAAAAAATTAATTTAGCAACCTTACATTTATATCTTCATTCGAATATTTTGAGATACTTGAATATACCCTGGTAGAATTATGTGTGTGTGTACAATTATGTGTTT